TTTAAGGTCAATTAGTGTTGCCGATTTTTCAGTAACCCTCGTTGGTTCCTCAATTAGTTGTGAAAGCTGGTACAAAGAACACAAAAACTGCAATCTGCGAGAGTGTGGTTCAGAGTTTTGCTGAAATCACAATTCATATCTCCAACAAGTATCAATTCCTCATTTTCCAAATCATATTTGAACAGAAAAATTTCAAAATTATCAAATAGCCCAAGTTTCGAATTAACAGTTAGTTGGTCGATACCAGCTACTTACGATAAATGAAGTGCAGTATCTTTTATTATTAATCTCTACACCAATGATTTCGAGGTTTCTTGATTCTGGAACTAAATCTTTTCTTTCAGAGTAAGATAATGTATTTTAATAAAAAAGGCGACTGCACCCCCATTTCTATTACGATCTTTCCGGATAATTGTATATCCATTTATACATATTTCAGAGTCTGAAATGCTAGAGTCGATTTTCGTTTCATTGATTGTCAATATATCAAAAGGGTGGTTACTCAGCAAAATTCGAATTTCGTCAATATGTTTAACAAGACTATTTACATTCAAGCTGGCAATTTTTAAACCTTTTATTATGCGAATGATTGACACAAGAGCTTCCAGCTGCCCAAAGCATGCTTGTTTTTAAGATTAAAATTTGGCGTCGCTTTGGCTGTTAAGAGCAGGCTTATCTGAACCCACAGTTTACCTAAGAACGACAGTTCGGACAAAATTACTGACACTAAAACCATTACTAACTCTTCACTTGAACTGTCATGCTTGAAAGAAAAAGTAACTAATTATATTTACGAATCCATGGCCAAAAATTATATTTACTTATGCATGTTGCCAAAATTAATCCCTTATCCACGTCATTCCATATAGACTTTTCTATTATTACTTTTTTATCATACATAATATATAAGAGTCGTCCAGAGTAGTAAATATGGTCTCGTGAGAAGCCATGGTTTTACCCATATTTAACAGTTAGCCTCAAGCTCGGTGATTACAAGCCTATATTCACTGAGACGAAGGTGAAGTGAATATAGGCTTTTGTTATATAGGTGCTGTGTATTTTAAATGTGGTTGGTTCATTCGTAGTCACATGACTTTAAATAAATGCAATGTTTCGCGCCAGGGAAACAAGTGAAAAATTGTTGCCCGCATATTGTCATAACAAAGTGTTCTTTTTGTTGTGCAACATGTATGTTTTGTTCCTATATAACAAAGCACTTAATGTACACTACCTCGGGAAATAGTGAGTTTTGTTTTCCCTCGAGTCTCCATGTTTCAGACTTATGGGAAAACGAAACTCACTATTTCCCTCGGGAGCATGTATTAAGTGCATTATACAGGGTGTATCAGAAAAAACTAGAAGATTTTAAAATATTCAGAAAACTATAATTTTATCAAGATATCTCAAAAATATATTTACGTCTAAGTATTTCAGCATCTTCTGGCTTATCTAACAGTAAAAACTGGCAGAAAAATTAACCTCGAAAAGCAGGAGAACGGTTTGTAAAAGCCTCATTTTTAACTGCTTGTGCAAAGAAAATGAGACGTTGAAAATCCAAGTTCAGTTAAAGAGGTGAAAGTTTGGAATCTTTTGTGCAATGTATCGCAATTTCAAAAAATTTGATAAACATTAGGTCCGCCGCGAAACGTTTCAAAATTGGATTTTCCCCCCCGTTTACTCCGCTCTCTCGTAACTTTTTACACGCAAGAATGATTACATGCATGAGTGATAGTTGGAATGACGTACTTAAACATAACTAACAATGAATACTCTTGTTTTATTGTTTTCATTTAACAAAGAGTGCTGGTAATTACGTCATTCCAACTATCACTCATGCATGTAATCATTCTTGCGTGTAAAAAGTTACGAGAGAGCGGAGTAAACGGGGGGGAAAATCCAATTTTGAAACGTTTCGCGGCGGACCTAATGTTTATCAAATTTTTTGAAATTGCGATACATTGCACAAAAGATTCCAAACTTTCACCTCTTTAACTGAACTTGGATTTTCAACGTCTCATTTTCTTTGCACAAGCGGTTAAAAATGAGGCTTTTACAAACAGTTCTCCCGCTTTTCGAGGTTAATTTTTCTGCTAGTTTTTACTGTTAGATAAGCCAGAAGATGCTAAAATACTTAGACGTAAATATATTTTTGAGATATCTTGATAAAATGATAGTTTTCTGAACATTAAAATCTTCTAGTTTTTTCTGATACACCCTGTATAGTAATCACCGAGCCTGAGGTGGCTAATTTTTTTAGTATAAATTTCGAGGTTTTGCAAAATAAGAATCACCAAAATTTCATAAAAATTCATAATTACTTCAAATTTCTTATTTGAAAAAAAACACAAAAAGCTATATACACTGACCAGTGACTGATGAATCAAAATGCAGGAAAATCAATCGTCACATCGAATTGCCATAGCTTTGCATCGAGACAAGGTCAATCAGTATGCTTTCACTCACGTACTACAGCAAATATTTCTAAAGTTATAATGATTTTAAAATTATTACAATGTTACTTCTCTTCTTAGCACATTTTCGTTTTCTGACTTCTATTTCTCATAATTTACTGATACATATTTGATATTCAAGGTGCCGGTGCATTACATTTCATGGTAGCAATGTCGATGAGTATGGCATCTTTATTGCTTCGCTGACTAACTTGACTTCATTTACCACAAGTTTATGGATTAAGGAAATTGGAAAAATGCATTCGTCATTATAAATGTGCTCATTTTATTTTTTGACCATTGTCAACCATATTTGTTGACCATATTTTTGACCATTGTCAACAGTTGTATGCACATTTCTATGAGGAAGGTCATTCGGGTTTAAAAGATTTTATGGTTCGAGTTATTGACAATACAAATGCTAATAACCCGACCGAAAGGGAAAGGTTTTGGATAGAAAAAATTCAATGTTATGTGCCACTAGGTTTAAATGAGAGGAAAGATTGTTAAGTTTATGGTTATGCTAATTTTCAGGTAATTAGGCTATATAGGTTTGAAGGACGGTGAACAGTTTGTTATTTCGTTTCTGACGAAGGGGCTTGCCCCGAAACGTAAAATAAAATTATTATTTGATTTTACTTTTTTGTATATTGATGTATATACAATTATGTTGAAAGGCTGGCTTTTAATATATATATATATATATATATATATATATATATATATATATATATATATATATATATATATATATATATATACATATATATATGTATATATATATATATATATATATATATATATATATATATATATATATATATATATATATTCGCCTGATGATCGTTTCAGAAGAAAGGTGAAACACAGAGTGTAGCGAACAATATATTCAAAATTTTGTAATATTTCATTGATTTTATTAATATTTCATTGATATATATATATATATATATATATATATATATATATATATATATATATATATATATATATATATGTTCGTGGTTTACCTGTATAGCAAGCAAAATTACTCAAGGACAATTGATAAAGGAAAGGAGAAGGGGGACATGGGTCAATGGTCAGGACCAGGATGTATAAGGGGTGGTTTCGAGAAATTTGGTGCTTTTGATGCGTTCCGGGTGCATATCTGGGACAAAATCATTTCCTTTCCTGAAATTACTAAGCTTTCATCGCCTTGTGTTGAGATGACCAAAGGAAATTATGTGGCGTTCAGTGACTTTATTATCCATGGAAATGTCAACTAGGTTTCGACCAGATTTTTGCGAAAACTGATTTATTATAACTTTGTGAATTGATTTACAGTATTAAAAAAATCTACAATGTGTCGCTTACTGGTAGAAGGCGAGGTCCAAATGATATTTGCAGACTCTCGTTTCAATTACGGCCCGAAACTGCAAAGGGCGATGACGCTTCTCGGTTCTCTCAAACTGGAGAAAAATAGTTACCCGTAGCAGTAGGTAAAAAGTATTTTTTTCTGAATAGTTCAGGAGATAATTACCTTCATGGGGTCTACTTTTTTCGACATTAGTAAAATGTCGGAAAGTGTGTTTTGTTAACGCGCGCTAACTCACAAAATACAAATCATGCAATCTGATTGGACGAACGAATTTTGTTACCTGTGAAAAATTGCAAGTATAGGATAATAATATGTGCATGACGTGTCAGAAAAGAACTAAATTTTCAACTGATTTAACATAGCTTAATTTTAATTAACTATATATAGGTATAGAATTATGAGGATCAATTTCGCTTTTTTTGCGTTTATGTTGCTACTGCTATGTGTATATACAATTATATAAAATATTGAAACAAAATATGAAACAAAAATGATTTAGCAGCAAATTGTTCATCTCCTAATATCACGACAATGGATCTTTGCGTGTTATTGTTGAATTGATTTCTATACACGTCGATTAAACACCCATTACGTTTTTGCTTGTTTGTACGACTTTCTTATTTAATCCTTGTGTAAATAATCGCTAAACACACTAATTTGCTGTTCCTAATGGCGTCACGTGGGGTTTTCGCTGTAGACTACAACTCGTATATAGGCGGATATTATAAAATTGCGCGCATGCAAACGCAACCATGCACATGTATAACCTCGATTTGAGTACTTGAAAAAAAACGGCTATTTTTTCGATAATCCATGGCGCACAATAGCGTACGTACCCCGTATCGGGACCCACCTGGCGACGGGTCGAAGCTACTTTCAACCACCCAAAGATTATTAATTCGAAATATAAAATTTCAGTCAAATTTTTCATCTATAAATATTCACATTTTTTCCGCAGCTATTAAAACAATTGTTAGCCGCAGGGTTGGATCCAGCACTAGTGCACAAATTTACATTACAAAACAAAGTGGTTATTTTTAGCAGTTTTCTTGTGTCATGCAAATTAGTGCACTAGTGCTGGATCCACCCCTGTAATGTCTATTGCATGACGTTTTATTTAGCATGCATATAAAATATGAACACCTGCCACAATATTCATTTGTACCGCGGTCTTTACGCCGAAGTGTTGCGGATCGCGTAATTTATGTTCCAACTGAAAATTTTCTCACGGATAATAGGTATGAACATGCATTCCGTAGTATCTCATAGTCTCTCGTATCTTTTAGCCCTATTATTGGGCATGCTCCACCAAACAAGATGTGAAGAAATAGAAAATTTCTGTTTTGATGGCAACTATGAAAGTAAGCGGTATAGAATACATAGAACACATATATACATTTTAGACTTCAGCCAGTTCAGGCAGTTTTTGTATTGTATCATTTTTAAATTTTATTGCAATTAAGTTAAGTTGGGCGAACTTTATTGAATGTTATTTTCTTAAATATTAGCTTCTGCAGGAATAAAGATTTAGTGCATGGTTATTGTATGCGTTTTTTAATTCGATCGTCTTAATTTTCAAGATAACAGACTTCACGCAACGTCTATATTAGGTCACATTAAAAGTAAATAATGAATGATAGTAAATATGAAGGATTGATCGGAAACCTTTTATAGAATGCAAATTATCGTAACAATATAATCGTAATATTAGGCTCGAAATTGAAGCGACACAATTTCGACCGTTGTTAAAATACCTAAAAGTCAATACATGTAATTTAGAGTAGTCTTCAATAGATGAAGAGCCTTCTATGAGGGAGATGCTATTGAATAAATCATTATTATTATCATTATTATTATTATTATTAATATTATTAATACAATTTGTGAAGATAAATATAAACGAAACAATTTAATAATATAGTTACTTTATACATGGTCATGGCCATGGGGCAGTTCACTTGACCGTTCACGGTCATACCCAAGATTACACGAAACGCGTGAAAACGTACTAGACTTCGAAAGACAAAAAATCTTACCCATGCAATGTTGTTTTCCACTTCAACCGTGTCGTAGCGACACGTAGCGTCAATCATTTTTTCCTTGGCACTCAGATAAAACTAATGACTTTGAAACAAAGGAATACGCTATCGATAGGATACCGTTGAGAAGTGGAAAAGGGGCCTTATTCTCCCGAAAGCGTTGTTAACTTCGATGTATGTTTTTGAAATATAAAGACTTTGTGTGGTTTAGTTAAAGGAAGCAGGACTTAAAACATCGGGACTCAACCGTAGTCCATAACCGCGTTGATAATGATATTACGCGCTTTTGTCCCCTTCCATTTTATAACCGCGCGCAAAGCTCTAAGGCCAGTGATACTAAAGTTTAATCTTTTAATTCACAGTGCTTGTGATTAAATAATAATTAATTTCCGATTTGGCTTATTGATATTTCATTATAGGAGTCAAATGGGCTATGTATATACGTATATACCCGTAATTATACTTAACGCAAACAAGATGAAATGTTACCCATTCTGATTGGCTGAGCCACTCGCTGTTTATCAGCTAATATTATTATAGACGAGTTAGGGCAGTGCAAAATTTCACGCAATCGACTTTTTATAACACATTTGAAAAGAAGGCGATCGCAAAATATCAATCGGGTGACGTTTTGCACTGAATGGAAATCCTTCTTAACATTCAGTAATAGCTATTGCGTGTTTTTCACCCAAAATCATTCAAAATTCAAATAGGGGCTCGCAAAGAACCCGAAGCCTATTACAACGAATAAATAGGTCCCGGAGTACAGAGTTTATTTCATTACTAACGCTGTATTTTCTTTATGATATGCTGTCTTTAGATCGCCGTTTAAACAATACCCGCGTATTGCAGTATCTGCATTCCAATTCAGGACCTGAATGCGTTTTGCAGTGTCTGAATCGAGACAAATGTTGTAGATCCATCAACTATAAAAAAAGCTCGCAATGTGAGAAGAACTGTGAACTGCTTTCTGAGACAGGCGCTGAAAAACCTGAACGTTTAGTTGAAGACCACGAATATAATCATTATGTTTTGCTACAGCCATCAAGAGTAAGTGATGCATGATACAACATGATACCACAATTCATATATATAGCTGCATAAGGTTGGATTCTGTTGAAGATTTCTTCTTTTTTTCTGCAAAAAAAATGAATTACAAAACAACTTAGAAGGTTTTAACAACTTAGAACAACTTTTAGGTGCGTATACGTACGGCACGAAAGGCGCTTCGAAACTGAGTTATTTGTCATAGGTCTTGAGTCATTTGTCACCATTTTTCCCACAAGAATTGTAGGACGGATTTGGCTTATTCCTGATCCATTCTTGTGCTCAGATCAGCGATTAATATTTTTCCTTTGTTCAATAAATTACTGTAAATAATGACCACATTATTTTGTGAGTAAGAAATCTTAGGGAATTGTAATTACCATACGCAGGTTCCACTCATTATCAAAAATTTACTAATCTAAAACTTGTACATAATCGTCTTCAGCTTTTAGTATAAAATACATGGAGTAAAAGGACAAAACTTAAAATTCCTGGACCTTGCCCACTGTTTGCCGACCAGATCTGGATCAATAGAACATATATATAACGAACTGTAATTGCCGGGTATTTCTTAGATCGCAAAAAAAATCCGAACGGCACATGCCGGCAGAACAATTTGATTTTAATTTATCAGGAATACGAAACGAATGGAGGGCAATATCTTGGAAGAATTAAAATTTCTTGGTAGCGTAGCTACATATGGCAGGTGAGCTCATCAAATACCCGAATAGAAATACTGAGCGAGTATGAATTCATTGAGAGAAGACGGCAAAAACTTTGAGCAATATGTTAACTTTTTACATTAATTGGCGGATAGCCGAAATACCCAGACTGAAAAACGTTTCTAGACAACCACTTTTTCAGATATAGAGGTCGGCAAACAGTGCTATATTTCACTAGAACATCTAAAATAATGTTTAGTATAAATATGAACTTCTCTCTTCGGGAAGGTTTTATTCCCCACAATTTAAGTCAACCATAAGGTAACAATAACGAATTCTGAAAAATCAATGATTTAATTTTCGCGGTCTCCTTATATATAACAACTTTTAAAGCTTTAAATAAAAAGGCTTGTTTACACTTGCGATTCTTGCTTCGACTTTACGTGCGATTTTCTTCTTTTTTTTAATTGAAAGTGAATGAGTTATTAATTATGAATCATGCTTTGACGTGTAAGAGCTTTTAATAATGTTCTTGCATGTATATGTTTGCATGGTGACACTCAATAAGTAATAATCTTAGCTTCTAAGCACACTACGTAAGTATTTATTATTACATGCCAAACATTCGATTCGTTAACCCGGGCCTTCATTAGTGCAATTACTTTTTGTTATACAGCCAGAAAATGTTTTGACGATGGCGTATACCCCCGCTTTCACATTATATGCTATACGGTTATATTTTGTAAAATAATCATCCTGATTATATATGTTGTAATCGTATGCTATACGATTATATTTTGTAAAATAATCATCCTGATTCATGATTCATGCAGGAACAAACGAAATATTGGTGCCCTGATTCTCCATGCTTAAATGGCGGTACCTGTCAAGGCGGATGTGGAAAAAATAACTCACGGTGCATATGCCCTTCTCCTTATAGTGGAAAATATTGTACTGACGAGTTCTGTAAGTGTAAATGTGTATAAATCAATGACCATGCATGCATAGTAAAAAAACATATATTTTTTGTAAAATTAAAAAAAATGTCGCTAGACGTTAAGGCTTATGATGTATACTAATCAAATGCGCGATGGCAGAGGAGAGGTTTGAATAATACGAGAGTCTGTAAGACATCTGCACCACGCGTAACTCGAGTGTTCTGCGTAACTGAAAGGTTCTCGAATATTTTCCTAATTTTCTTTCGGCTCATTCTTTATTCATGCACCCATTCTTCCTAACAACATTCATTATTAACGCTTAACGGCACAGGATGAGAACGATAGAATTCTTCTTTACCTATATATATTTCTTAACAACAGTGACTAAGCTTATTTTTGTAACTTAAGTAAGCAGCATGATTCTTCCCAAACAGTCATTGATGTCTTCGAAATTTTTTGCCGCGTAATTTTTCTTCGCCATCGGCAATTAATAATAAGCAATCAGGGCCCTTGATAAACAGCTTAATCTGCGTAGGGGGGTGTATATTGATATATTCTTTACATATCGTAGGAACAATAGTTTCGAAAAAAAATCAGTCGGAAATATTTAAGGCCAATAATTTTATGACAATAATGCACTCCCCCCCCCCCCCAATCCAGTTAAGCTTCTATTGCTACGGCTTGCAATCAATACATCGCGGGCTGGTAACAATTCTCGTAACAATTTTTGAAGGTCGGTGCGTCACCATTGCGCCTGACCCTAATATATAAATAGTTTTACAAAATTTTGAGAACCAAAATTTAGAGAATGACCGGGTCGGACTAGCTGCTTGTTGCCTCTTAAATGTTCGCCGAAATCTGTTTTTGATCTTTAAGCTACACACTTTACACAGCTATATAGCATACAGCAATATATAGCATACAGCAATATAGCGACTAAATTGATTAAGGAGCGCGGTTTTATCTTTAAATTTGCCCAGGGTATATCACTGGTGTACGCATGGCGTTTAACCGTTACGCGTGGAGTAACTTGGCACCATAAGACGTATGGAGTACTTGAATATCAAAAGTTGAATTAGTTTTTCTATTTGGGAACTTGTGACTTCGGGGGGGGGGGGCAGCTTAGCTAAGTCATTTGTCCCTAATTCCAGTATAACAATATCAGACGCAGACTCCGACACAACGCCCAGATCAAACGCGTCTACTTTCTGCACAGTGCGACCCCCTCCCCATGCAGGCGAAAGGACACTGTACCTTGCAAACCAAAGTCCGCCGCCGTATACGCGCATCAATATGCCAATCCCTTTTCCAACGACGTACAAAAGAATGTCCGAGAATGAGCACTTTGGGTACAGTAGCATTATACATCGTTGAATACTCTTACCTTAGATAAAAAAACTTTTTTGTTTGACAGTCGACTCTTGTCAGTTGACTTCGGCGACATATTCTCTAGCTTATGAGTCACCTTATTTCACCGTTCTGGTGATGCCTAGGCTTCTTTTTATCCGGGTATCTGCCGGAACGCCATTCCTCGCCAACTTTACACCTGCCTAACCCTATTATATAATCCTCACACTATCTTGACTCTTTAACCCAAAATTACTTCAAACCCAGTAACACAGGACGGAATACATAAAATTCCTATTTGCTAGCAAATATCTTATTTACACTACTTTCAATTTATCGGTACGGCACGGAGAAAATGGGTACCCGTTGCCATTTTATCCGTGCTCGACCCTTGTATTGTTAGCCTGAGCACTAAAAAAATTCAGTAGATGTACCCATTTTAGCCGTGCGGTGTCAATAAATTGACTGTAGGGGCTATAAACTAAAGTCTAGAATTATTACAACAACTTTATTTGTATATGCAATAAATTAAAAAGCATTCCTTTTTTTATTCAAATTGTTTATTGGACTCTTGTTCCGAGAATTCTCACAATTTATTGACATGACTTGTTTGATATTCAAGGTGCTGATGCATTACAATTTCGTGGCAACAACGTTTATGAATATGGAATCCTGGACGCGCCGTCAACTAACTTGAATTCATTCACCATAAGTTTTTGGATGAAAACAACCGGAATATTTGGCCAATCAGTGCTATCATATGCATATAAAAACGGAGAAAAAATTCGTTCTAACGGAATACTTATCAATTCTCGAAAGGAGGGTTTTCAGATGTATTTCGAAGCACCTAGGAAAGACGCAAAAATAAGGTAAATGATATATATCGCGTTGCTTTTACTTTTAATTAATAATTTATATACAAAAAAGTAAGACTTACCCCAACGAAATGTGGCACACCTGTATCTTTTCACTATAAATGAAGGTTAGGCCAATGAATATTATGTGTTCGAGCATATTTCTTTAGTTTTAAGACCCGGATGATAAAAATTGTTATAATAAACTCCAAATTAAGAAATTAAGTACACGTAGCTACATTAATTACCATAATGCCAGGATTTCGCAATCATAGATGGCTGCCTTGTTATATGATAGAACTATATAAGGCACGAGACAAAATTTGAAATTACTTAACAACTTAATTTTTGTCTGTCTGATTCGCAGCAATTATTCAGAAATGCAACCTACCCATTTGATTCATGTGTAAAAATGACAGAAAATAGCACCTCTGTACTTTGGGTGTTTGTATGGTAATACGAATTAATGTACTCAAAACCCATGCATCTAATAAAGAGTTATACCTATACATCCTACGATATATCTACAATTTATTACCTTTTAAACAAATGCAAATGGTGTGTCCTTAGGATGATCATGTTTGTATTGTTTTTTATATATAATAACATGAAATGAGTTTACTTATTAGTTTAAAATTAGTTTATTATTAAGTTCAACTACTTTATTTGGCCACCCCATATTAAATAGTTTTCTGTAACAAGATTTTTTGAACTATTACACATAAAAACGTACCAATAGCGGGATAGCTCAGAGGCGAGCTGGAACCTTACTTTACATATTATACTGCTCAACCGTCTGGAACGACGAGAATTGTAATAATCTCTATAAAATGCAAAAATGTGCTGTGTTATTATTAATTCAAATCATCAAAACAAGGTCAAAAGGATATACAGGGTGAGTAAAAAAACTGATACCTTTGAAATTCAAATTAGCTGCGATGTGTCTGTAATCGGCTGTAATGTGCAGAAGTTGCCTAAAATATCTCATGGGTATACGAAGCATATCAAATAAGTGAACCCATTAATTAAACTAAAACATAAAGTTTGTTTCCTTTGGGAGTTAAAATGCATTCTAAGCTCTGTAATAAAAAAGAACGTTGAATTAATTCAATTGGTTTAAACACTTTCGCATTATTAACGTCTTGTTGATTGTACAAAATGGGAATTGTCAAATTCCAGCAAAACGTTTGCGGCTAATTTGAATTTCAAAGGTGTCAGTTTTTTTTACTCACCCTATATATAAAAGCCTGAAATCGGTTCCAGTTAAATTTACCTTACTAAAAGGTAAAAAGACACATTTTTATGACATTTAGGCTACTCGTGGTGTTGCGCGCCGGCACACTGAGCTGGCACACTTTAGACCTGACGAGAGAGCACTCACTTTGGAGTGGTTTCAAAACAAATTTGTAGTTTTTATGTGTAAAACTGTAAATAGCCTTCTTAAACGTTGTATATAGCTCCTTTTGTTCAGCACTTTTATGACAAAGGAAACCACCTACCAATATTATTATTTTCGCTCCGTAAGTCGAGCACTGTTCAGTTCTGTATGTCAACATGGAGAAGACCAATTTTAGTTATTCCACTAAAAACATTCCGATTCCAGCTAACCAAGAATACTCCAAGCGACTGATTGAAATGACGGAAAAATTAATCAAAAGAATGCGGTGGCGAGCGCACTTTTTCCTTAACCCAAAAGAAAAACCACCTTCAAAGAACAACTATGGCTTTAATTCGAAAGCATCCCCGCCACAAGTACCTCAACTTAGAGAGTTCGAAGACAAAATGGCTACGTTAATACACAACATTGAGTTCAGAAAGATACACCCGACTTAGTTTGAAAACTCTTTGGCGAAGCATATACGTGACATAAGAAGAGATGACACCAACTTATTCATACCGGCAGATAAATCGACGAACTATTATTATAAAATGAATACTAGCGAGTATGACGGTTTATTGAAGAAAAGTATAGAGAAGGAATACAAAAAGGCCCCTCAGAATGCAGAAAAATCCATCAATGCTAAAGCTAAACAAATCGCATGCAAGTTGGAAATAGCTGATAGAGTCGAAGTGCTCCCCCGTAGGAACGCATTCATTACCCTAAAAGACCATAAGGATAATTTCCTAAACAACCCATCTTGTCGTTTGATAAATCCCACAAAGTCAGAGCTGGGAAGAGTTAGTAAACACATATTGGACAGGATAAACCGTGCGGTGATTGAACAAACTGGGGTACAGCAGTGGAAGAGCACTAAAGCAACTTTGAACTGGTTTAACGCTATCGCAAACAAAAGCCAGTATTCTTTCATCTCGTTTGATATCGTGAATTTTTATCCATCCATCACTTGTGAACTCCTTCACAAAGCCCTTGACTTTGCTGCATCGTTTACCAACATAACACCTGACGAGAAAGGCATTGGTCAAATGGTCACCCACTCAAGCAAATTTTTAATAAGAACACTTTAAAACTAAGCTACTCATGCATGCCCAACTTACAAGCTAAGACCAATAATCATAACAAGGCGTTATTACGGAAGACCAATGGGAAAAAGGAAGAAAATCAATCATGTAATTGCAGGGATAGGTCATCGTGTCCCCTGGACGGAGAATGCTTAGCAACAAATGGAATTTACCAAGCAAAGACGGACACAGGAAAAGAAACATAGGCTACATTGGATTAACGCAGAACAAGTTTAAAACCAGATACGCCAACCACTTAGCATCGTTTAGGGACAAAAACAAAATGAATGCGACGCAACTGAGCAAACACATTTGGGAACAAAAGGACAAAAACGTCAGCTATAAGTTGTCATGGAAAATTATCGCCAGAGCACAACCGCATACAAATGTAAGCAAGCGATGTAATTTATGCATCACTGAGAAATTTTTTATAATTTGCAAACCCCATATGGGTACATTAAACAGCAGAAATGAACTTGCTAACAAATGCCGTCACGGAGGAAAGCTAATTTTGTTAAAGAACGTGTAGCGAACGAGTATACTGTATATAAGACCGAAGAAGCTGGCACATTTTAGACCTGACGAGAGAGCACTCACTTTGGAGTGGTTTTGAAACAAATTTGTAGTTTTTATGTGTAAATAGCCTTCTTAAACGTTGTATATAGCTCCTTTTGTTGAGCACTTTTATGACAAAGGAAACCACCTACCAATATTATATACAGGGTGTATCAAAAAAAAAGGAGACCTTTAGAAATCAAGCTATTGTTAAAATTTGAATGCTTCTTCAATTGCATTTGCACATATGCTAAACCGTAGTGCGTGAAATATTGATGGCATGCATGCATACATTAGAAAAAGGAGACCTTTAGAAAATGAATTGACGTTTATACACAAGATTGTCTGCTCCTGGGAATTTGAAAATAACTTTAATAGCATAAGGAAAAATAACGACCCAAAAATATTCAAACGACTAAGCACAAACGACTAAGCAAAAAGCGATAACAGTATGCGTGGTAAATTGCTTTAGCTGTTCTTTCGAAACATGAACAAATCATTTGTTCATTAATTTTTAACACTGCGTGCGAGTATTAGGGCTGTTCACATGAGTTAGAATTGACTTTGAATCCGGAATGGCTCAGCATCCCATTTTACAAACACTGCCTATTAAAATGTTTACATGAGTCAGGAATGAATTGCAACTTGATCTGACACAGATTCACTTGACATTTCGATCCGGATTGAAAATTACTGATAAATTGAACATCAAAAGAACTGAATGTCATGGACCATAACCTCCAACGTGGCCTCCATTTCTCTCAACACAAACTACCATACGCTTGTGCATATCGCGAACTGCTTTTCTGATAACGGCAGACTGGGTATAAGTTAAGACTACAAAAACTCTTTGCTCCGAAGTCAGTTGAACCATTTTTGTTCTGGTAGTGTGCTTAGTCATTTGAATATTTTTGGGTCGTTATTTTTCCTTATGCTATTAAAGTTATTTTCAAATTCCCAGGAGCAGACAATCTTGTGTACAAACGTCAATTCATTTTCTAATGTATGCATGCATGTGCATACCATCAATATTTAATGCACTACGGTTCAGCATATGTGCAAATGCAATTGAAAAGGCATTCCAATTTTAACAATAGCTTGATTTCTAAAGGTCTCCTTTTTTTGACACACCCTGTATACAGGGTGAGTCAGAAAAAAGTCCCCTCTATTGAAATCAAGCCTTTGTTAGAATCTGATTGCCTTAATATTATGATAAACCCAATTGAAAGCAAGACGCTTTATTTGAATGCCTCAACCTAATAACTATGCTATTTACACACTACTGCGTTGATCATGCATTCAAATCAACAAAGGCTTCATTTCAATAGGGGGGACTTTTTTTTGACTCACCCTGTATATATATATATATATATATATATATATATATATATATATATATATATATATATATATATATATATATATATATATATATATATAAAAAGTTTGAGTCATGCAGTCGTTGTAGAATTCCAGTAATAAATCCTGGCAGCGTATTCGAGTTAAGACATGCGTGTTAGTGTTTCAGAACTGTAAACCATATCAATTGAACACTGTTTGGGTGCTAATGATCTAAATTATAACAAAATAAAGTTCTCATCCCTTCACACTGCCCAAGATGGGCGGGGAAAGGTGCAAAGTGATGGTGCACAAGGACTAATAGTTGCATTACGTATTGAAGGATTCTTTCCTCGTAAAATCGCAGAAAAAGTGAGAATTTGAAAAGGTGGTATGAAACTAACCTTGGGGAGGTTAGAAGAGACTAAATCATACTCAAGCTACTTCGGTAATGCAGGGTTTGGCAAGATTGAAAGATATAATAGGATCCTAATAAAAGAAAAGTATCATCCAATTCTTCAAGGACATGGAATTTCATCTGGTACAAAGATGATCGCGCGTCTAATTAAATGATAATCACCCTAAGCACATGCACACCTTCTATGTGCCAGAAATCTTTTAGAAGCAAACTCGTTCTCATGGCTTTCTACCTCAAGTTCCAGATCTGAAACTTATGGTGCACTTGTAGGACCGTTTTAACCGGAAAAGGGCGAGGCACAGACCCACCAGCGAGGATGACTTGACGCAAGTGGTCAACGAATGCTGGCTGAGAGGTATTGAACGTGCAACATTAAAAAACCTATGGGATTTATGCCAGGAACAATAAAAGCCGTTTCAAGAGGAAAAAAGAGGAATACTATATCAGCATTGACATGTAATGCATGTTTGCACATTAACATAGCAACGTTAAATGAATATTATAACATCCCATAGTTTTTGTGCACCAAGTATTTTTCAGTTTACTTATTTACTCTTTTCTAGTTCACTTATCCGTAAGGTTTTCAGTAGAAAATTAATATATGCTGCTAAAACAATGAAATACAGTTACTGGACTCAAACTTTTGCCTCCTACTGTATATATATATATATATATATATATACCTTTTTCCCGGCATTAAACACAAACAAATATTCGATAACATTGTGCTGTACACCAATAAAACTTTGGAATATTCATTTAAACGAACAGAACATTATTAACATTTATGAAATTTCAATCAGATTAATTAAGCATTTAAGCACAAAAGGATATTCATTTAAACGAGCAAAAAATCATTAACATTTATGAAATTTCAATTACATGAAATGTGCACTGAAGCATAGAGGTAAATTTCAATAGAATTTACACAAGTTCAATAAGCATAACAAAACAGTCAATACAAACAAAAGGATATGCATTTAAACCTCTAAGAAAAATATTCGCATTGTTGGTGCTGCCTAACCTGTACAACAATTCCACTCGGCTTAAAGTATTTAACTCTATTCTCTTGAGGACGTACTTTCAGTGGCGTAGCCAGCCTGACGATTTTGTCCCGCTATGTAAATTTCGAGTTACTATAATTATTCATGTCTTTAGAAATCCATTGTGTTCACAGTCAGTAAACCCTAAAATATTAGCATAGAGGGACAAATCGACAGGCTGGCTACGCTACTGCGTACTTTGATACATTAACATATTCAAAACGATATAAAAATTGAGTTACATGAATGTACGTCGTCAAAGTTTACCTTGTAGTGTACATGATGGCAGCAAGACCTAGACGACAACGTGTGAGTTTGGAAAATGGCCCAACCACAGAAAAGTTGATGGTGAAATGAGGCAGTGCATTGAGGAAATTCTGAATGAAAACCCTGTTCTCACTCTTAAAGGCATAAATCGACTTCTTCAAAAAAGATTGCCCGATAAACCCCGAATACATTCACGCACAGTTGGGAAGGTATTGAATGGTATGCTATACACATTTAAACTTGTTCGACGATGCC